ATATATATGAAATCAAACCGACACTATATTTTTCATAGTTTAAATGAAAGAGCACTATACCTCAAACCCTGTATCTATCCCGAAGGATAAACACAAGACGAGAGGATGATGATCGATCAAATAAACTAAGAAATATATGACATTCGTTTGGTATGTGAAACCGTTTTATTTGCCGACAAGTTTCCTTATTTAACATGAAAAATTAAATATGGTTTATATTAAGCTGGGTTCAGACAAGCTTCTTATAAGAGCAAACCCCTATAGTTAATTACATCTTAAATAATCAAAGTTACCTAAGAAAACTCTCGATAAAAATCAAGAAATATTGTCTTCAAGGAGTTCAAAAGGATAGGACTAGTGCAGTAATTCAGAATAAAATCTCTTGAAGTATTTGATGACGCTACTAGAAGATTTAAATTTCAGCAATGGTGTCAAAATATTGACCGCAACTTTATATATTTGTGTTTGATTTAATAAAGATGTATAAATATAATATTCAATAATGTCAAAGTCAAATTTGTCAACGCAAGTATACATATCGCTCAAGTAATATAGGGCTTTAATGGACTCCTAGTTATCGATCCCACATGGAGAAATCAAATACTATGGACTAAGGCTTAATAAAAAGTAATACTTCAACTACAACAACGACGTTCAATTTGCTTATCTATCACTAATAGACAATTGAAAAAAGTAGATAATTTGGATAACAAATAAATAACTAATGATAGAAAGTAGGTTTTAATTTGTGATATTCAATATATAAGAAAACATTCTTCTCCTTGTCAAGAATATATAGTGAATGGATAAAATGAATTAGTTTAATTTATATTGTGCCAAATAGGAGCATACCTATTTTTTACTCTTTGGTCCAGGCATAAAGAACATTGACTAATCCTATGCTTGGTTAGTGATTCTGCGGTTAGGCTGGGAGGATACCGGCTCTCACTTCGGAGCTCCCACGTTCCCATCACATGAGGGCTAACATCTACACATTAGCACCCAAACGATAGGACCAAATTGGGGATTTTAGTCTGTCATTCTTAAATCTCCAATTCTACGCCCGATAGTAATATTTTTATATTTATTTGCACCCAACTTCCAAGGGCTTTGACCTCCCTGAATCTTGGATGTAATCTTCACTTTAGGTGTAAACTCAACATATTTTA